CTTTAAAGACAGTTCCCCTGATTAAGTGTTATGGATAGTTGCTGCTCAGTTATGAAGCAGTAATTGTGACATTTAAAGGGAGGGAGGGGGCAAAAAGACATTTTGACCGAGTCACATATCAGCAAAGTTTTCGCAGCCCAGACAGAGGACGTGGATACGAGTACCAGGGCGGAAGATACCCAAGATGTTCCTCGATAAGCAGGAGCTGGCCTCGCCCATCACCTTCATGTACACCAAAATATGAAGTCATCTCCAATCGCAGCCTGACTGGAGAAGGCCTATGGAATTCACGTCACCTCCAAACAGCTGCGAAACTTCTTGTATGGAGTCACCCATGGACAGCTACCTGGAGACCGAGCACTCTTGAAACGTCGCTACGGTCCAGGATATCATCTTCACCGCAGTCGCCAAGGCGCAAGTTGGTGGTGTGGTTAGGAGTTCCTGGAATGGAAAGACCGATATTTTCTTCGTGGACCCCGGACTGAAAGTGAACGCTGACAGTTACATCGAACATTTTGTGGAGAATATCCTGCCCTCATGTCATCGCCTGTACCTTCTTGACTTCGTACTGCTACACTGGGTGCCTCCACACGGAATCGAAGGGCGTTGGAAAAACTCTCGCCTACTTGGAATGGAAGGGCGTTGAGTACCTGAAGAAGATGGAATATCTAAGTAGGTCACCTGACCTAAACCCCCTCAATTACCCGGTTCGGGCGGAGCTCAACAGGGTGGTCTACAGTGGCGGAGAAATCAACGATCTCGCTGAACTCAGGCACCGAATCACGGTCGCGTGGCAGAATCTCTCGATGGCTCGTCCAGAAGGCTGTGGCGGAGTATCATGATAGTATACAATATGCTGTTGAATATGGTGGTGGAAATGTCCATCAGAATTTAATAAAGTGTAATTCATATCGCCTTGAAAGTCGAGGAAGAAAAGTGTCTCTTTTTTGCCCCTCCCCTCTGTATAGAAGGTGAACTTTTCAAGTCAGCTTCCTTTCTTTTCCCGAAATGGGTTTACAACTCTAGCAGCTGTTTCAGATGCTGACTCTGCGCACTCGTGAAATGCGTGAGAGAGACGAGAAGCAGCGCCAGTATAGTTATAAGTACACATTAATTCGTATTCGACTTCCGGACAGATATGTTCTTCAGGTACGGTCGCAGTTTCCTACCGCGGTTCCCAGCTTACGTTTTGCATTCAGGGTACTTTTGGTTGTTATGAACCATTATCTGTGGTTCGTGAGTACATTACCAAATACCTATCGAACCAAGCGGCATTGTTCTCGTTGTATAATCCTGTGAAGGGAAGCGAACCACTAGCTGATGAAACCAAGAGCTTAGCAGCACTGGGATTGGCTCCCGCAGTTGTACTGCATCTGGATTGGGATGAGCCTATCGATGGTCCGAGCTTATCGCAGGAGTTCATCGACGTTGCGGTACCCCTTTGTGCAAGCTAGCCTTCCTTTTCTCGCTTCTCGCTATGTTTTGTTTGATTTTTGCTCGGGTCGATTGCTTACTTGGTTGCTGTCCTCTTATCTGCTCTACGTTAACCTTGAGGTGTCATGCAAAATAAACTTTTGAAGATATAGCTGTTTTCTGTACGGTTTATAAGGTTTCTGTTGTGAATAATTTATTAAATAGCGCTTGGTTTGTAATTTTTTCTTCACTAATAAGTACTGCTCGATACCCTTATATATCCACTAAAACCCTCAGTATCTTTCAAAGAATTGCGATAATGAAGCTGTTATGATCAGTCTTTGTCGATGTTATTGAAGTTCGTCTCTACTTCTACCCTAAAATCAAATCTTGTTCAAACTTTTTGAAATGTTTGAGTCGCAGAAAATGAGTTCCAAGCCAGTGCACGATTCTACAACTTTGAAGAACATAACAGAGCGGAGACCAGGTAAGCTCATTGTTACATTTGCCATCAGCATTTCAATTGCTTTTTTCAAAGATTCGTTCCTACTCCTTAGCCCTGGCCCTGAGAAATTGGTGACAGAACCTGTCAAGCCGTCCGCTATCCTTGAAAGGTACGCAATGTTCAAAACCTGTGTGATTTATATAAAGTAGAATTAATTCTCTTTAGTATCAGTTCTTTGAAGCTATACACATTTTGAGTGAGTCACGGTAACCTTGTTTATGCTATTGTATTAGGTTGT